ATTTATTCCTAACTCCACTGTTTGTGGCCGATGCAGAAACCTTTCAGTGTAAAGTGATAAACTACACATTCAGATGGAGTAATAACATGCTTGATTTCCCTGATTGATATATTAATAAGCAGCGAAAAGCTGAAGTACAGTATAATGTCCTTTTAATTCAGAGAAAATGGTTCAATTGTTTTTTTAAATCTTATCTTTTATTCGCAAAACATTTACATAATGTGCCTTTTTCTTCCAGTGTAGCATGGATGAGATAGTGGGTGAGGGACTGAGCGCCTCATTAATTCACTCAGAAGCTGCCAACTGATTGATTAGCTTTTCCAGTTACAAGCAAAGTCTCATCACACTTCCTGTGATGCAGAACATTAGTTAAAAATACCATCAATGTTGCCAGTGGAGACAGGGGAGAGTGAGATGGAGTCAGCTCCATACACATACACTCCTGGCTGCTCTGTGTTTCTCCATGTGATGAACTTTTTAATGTCAAAACAATTAAAGTTGAGGGACTGCAGGACTGACACTGCCTTGGGTTATCAGCCTAGACTGTGAGTTTAAAGTCTCGACTTGGGGCTTAAACCCACTATCCCTCTGACTTGCTACTAACTGAGCTAGACTGACAATTATTTGAGTGTGCAAGGGCTTGCTAGCCACTATTGTTGCTCTGAGTGTGACAGCTTTGGAGATGTCAGTGGTTTGTCCCCTTTAATATTGTTTTTTCTGGAGCATGTGGCTGGAGATGATGCTAATATCTTTGACACATTTAGAGTGTTTTTTAATTGAGTGTGAAGTGAATGTTGGCAAAATCTTTGTTAATTGTGTTTTCATTAGCTCCAGATGGAGAGGCTTCATGAGGTGAGGTGAAAGCATCTGGACTCAAAAAAGCTACAACAAAATAGAACCCAAATAGAGAGAATCGATTGGCTCAGAGCAGTTCCATTGCATGTGTTACTGCCCTCTCTCTCTCTCTCCCCCACCCACCTGGATCTGTCCTGCTTACAATCTTCAGCCTCATCCAATCATTGTGAAGATGGTGGAGGCTGGTCCTTCAGTTAACATTATCCTTCAGAGATGTTGAGGTGATTCTCCTGTCCCCAAAGATTTGTGCTTTTGTCTTTCAAGTTGTATAATGTAATAACAACCTTTGCATTTTGATATACAGTAACACCTTTCACATTGGGAGGATTCTCAAACAGCTTCACGGGATAGACTGTAAACTTAGAGACTGTGTGTTTGTAGGCAAACATGGCGAAGTTTGAATTCTTGGCACTGAAATGGGCTGTCACAGAGAGGTTTAGGGTCAGATGAGAACCAGTCCCTAATGTGGTGAAACAATCATCACGGGAGAAAGCAGGGACTATACACTGTGTGAGTATAGAGGTTGATGATGATTGGGTGGCAACTGAAGTTCACTAGAGATGCCGCAAACTCATTAGGGAACATGGGAAACACAAACAACAACAACAAGATTCCATTTATAGAGCACCTTTCACGTCGGGAGGACGTCCCAAGGCGCTGGACAGTTGGCTCAGGACCCGAGCAGGGGGGAAATGGTCAGGGTGAGGGGAGGGAAGGGAGGGAGCGAGGAGGGGGGAAATGGTCAGGGTGAGGGGAGGGAAGGGAGGCAGCGAGGAGGGGGTAGAGAGCCGAGAGGGGAGCTGAAGGCACGGTCAAAGAGAAAGGTCTTGAGACCGGCCTTGAAGGAGGAAAGGGAGGAAGCGGCGAAGGCACTGGGGATAGAGTTCCAGAGCCTCGGGCTGAGAGGCTGAAGGCCCGGCCACCGATGGTAGGGCGGTTGGGGCGGGGGATGTGGAGCAGACCGGAGCCCGAGGAACGGAGGGTACGGGCAGGTAGGGAGGGGGATAGTAGGTCAGAGAGGTAGGAGGGAGCAAGGCCGTGAATGGCCTTGTAGGTGAGGATGAGGATCTTGAATTCGATCCTCTGGGGGATGGGGAGCCGTGGAGGCAATTGCAACTGTGCGCAATTGGCTGCCGCGTTCGCCCACAAATATACAGTCAATTCACTTTACAGTGTGTTCTGTGAAGCGCTTTGGGATGTCCTCCCGACGTGAAAAGCGCTATATCAAATGCAAGAATTGTTGTTGTTGTTGTTGTTGTTGAGGCGAGCGAGGGTGGGAGTGATGTGTTCCCGAAGCCTGATGCGGGACAGTACACGAGCTGCAGAGTTCTGAATGACCTGCAGTGTGGAGGGAGGGCCGGGAAGGCCGGCGAGGAGAGAGTTCCCATAGTCCAGCCTTGAGGTGATAAATGCGTGGACCAGAGTTTCAGCCGCGTGAGGGGTGAGGTAGTGCCGTAGTCTGGCCATGTTTTGGAGACACACCTGGACCATGTCTGAGCCACACACTGTAAAGGACTGCAGCTGTTGATTGGTTCCTCCTCTGTCTGGTTGCGGGTGTGGAGTTTTGCAGCCCACACAGACAACTAACAACTTTGAGGGCACTCCCTCTGTCACTCGCAGGAAAGGAGATGTAATTGTCCCTCTTGTCCGCTCAGGAAACCAAGGGTGCGAGGGCTGCCAGGGGCAGTTCCCAGGCCCGCCTCTAGAGGGAGCTCCGGGAGCAGCGTTCCCCTTGTGTGAAGGGAACAGTGGCTCTCACTCACGTTTCACTGTTTTACTGAACAAGTTATCGCATTCATCGTTGAAGGTTTTAATGGTTCATCATTAAAGCTTCACCGCTCATTTTCAGTGCTTGTTGCTGCTGTGCCATTTTACCGAAACACAAGGAAAAAAACTGTTCTGACTACAGTAGCGGTTCACTGTGTGAGAGACAGAGCTCTTTCAATGGTACCTGACTCTTCTAATCAACTCAAATGAAGTGTAGATTCACTAGGTTTATAGTTTTTTTTAATTGAGGTTGGAGCCAAGGTTGAAGGATATATCGTTGACAGATTTGTCCTCGAAAGCAAAGAATCGTCTCTTATGTTCAACTGAATTGAAAGAAATTACTTTAGTAGCAATTAATAGCCCCAGGGATAGAGTTCACATAGACATAAAGCCATTCACGGCCTCTGCTTCTGTGGCTTTTCAGGACTGGAGGATTGCAATGTGTTGGTTGATCCTTGCAGAACACCACTTCTTTCCTCTTGTCAGCCTGAGAAGATGCCCTTAACTTTCGTTATCCCTAATCCATCCTTTGCTTTCGTTTTCCTAAATTCTTTAATCCACTCTGCTTACTCTCCCAGGATTCCACATGCCATGCCTTTAGTTAGGAGACTCATGTGGCACTTCATCAAAGGCCTTCTGAAACACTACATAAACTGCATTTCTCTTCTCTATCAGTTATGTCTTCAAATAATTCGATGAAGCTTGTCAAGTGTGATCTTTTTGTGAATCCACACTGGCTGTCGTAATTATATTCTCTTCCAGGTGACTAGTTACTTTTATTACAGAGTCACTGCTCTGGGTTGTGGTACAGTATTTTGCTGTGTCTAGTTTGCACCTGCTCTGAGCTATGAAGTGTAAATGTCAGGGGAATAATCAGTCTCCTGATTTGTGCCTCAATGAATTCTCTCAGAAAAAAATTATAATATCTTTTGTTACAATAATGCAGAACTTCCTGCCTCAATCCCTCTGTATTGCTCCATTATCTATCCTTAAATACCACTTGAAAACTAACCTCTTCGCCGTCCCTCCTCCACCCACACAAACACACATTGTCGTTGCTTGGACTCAGACTATCCTGTGTGAAGGGCATTATATAACTGCAAGTTGTTGATGATGTTATATCTGCTGCCCATGGCTCTGTGGATCCAACTGAGAATATTTCAGTTGCCTTATGATTTTTTAACAAGGTCAGACAGGGGCAATGCTTTCTGTTCCTGAGGCATGTGTCTGCATTAGATCCTTACAGAAATAGCAGTTTATCCTCTCTCTAATTCCTCTATTTCTTTCTCTCTTTATTAATGTTTTCTATCTCTCTGCCCTGATGTGAATGTAATGAAACGTGTGTGTGTGCGCACAGCAGTGGAGGACCAGCTTGGAAAGAGAAACAATGTCGGAATATTCTCGGGCTGAACAGTGAGGATGCGGCACATACTGCCAATGATAGCAGCTGATGCTGCATCACTTTGTGCCTTAAAAATGAGATGGTGAATGATTGGTGAGGAGATGGGGTTGTAGCAGGTGTATGTGGAGGGCAGCTCTGGCTTCACAAAGCCTCTCAGTGATCTTTGGGGTCATTGGGGAGAATTCAGAGATTTCACTTCCTGATAGCCCCCCTCCCAAATACTCACTCACGTGCACACACACATGTACACACACACACAGCCGCCCCTACACTCACTCACACACTCACCCATCTCCCTCCCCGCCCACCACGTTCACACACCCACAAACACTCACTGACACACTGACAGTCCCCCTACATTACAATTAGCTCTGGCAGTTGTGCATGGTGGTGCAGAGCGAGTGCAGGAGGGAGCGCTGTTTGCTGGCTAGCCTCTGTAAGGTTCTTCAGGGAGTAATTGTCCGTGAAGCGAGTCAGTTTGTGTAACATGCAAATAGTGTGTGAACAGCAGCAACTGCACTCCCACTGCAGTGTGACTGACAGCTGCAGAAACAAACCAATTATCAAGAGGAAGGTTTCGGGAAAGGATAACATAGAATAAGGCAGAGGTAAGAGTGGAACCAACCAGACAACAACAACAACAAAATTACATTGTATAGCGCATTTCACGTTGGGAGGACGTCCCAAGAAGAGGGTTTGAGAAGATCTGAGACAGAAAAGAAAATTCATCAAATCTGGTGCTTCTTGAAAATTCCTGTAGCTCAGTGGTTAGAGCACTCGCTTTGCAAGCGAGATACCTGGGTTCGATTCTTGACAGGGTGAAACTTTGGGCAAGTTTCCTTACTCCACACACCTGATAATAATCCCTCAAGAAAAAAAACAATAATAATTTGGTCACTCAATCCACCACCGCTGTGCACAATTGGCTGTTATGTTTCTCCCACAAAATATAGTCAATTCATTTTACAGTATATTCTGTGAAGCGCTTTGAGACATCTAATTATTATTATTATCCTCCAGTCTGCTGTCAATCAACTATTCATCCCAGACATTAGGAGAAACTCGCTTCTCGTTTTGAATGTTAGTGCTATAGGATCTTGAATGCCATTTGAACAGGCTCTCGCCTATGATTGGAACAAGATTAAACATCATTTATTTTGACTTCTCATCACATGTTTTCAAAATGCACCAAGTGTTTGATCAGCTCCATTGACGACAATGTTACACTGACTGAAAGCCTTTAGTGAAAGATCAATAATCACACCCAGTTCCCCTTTGATTCCTTACAAATTACATTTATACAGCACTTTTTACCTCCGGCTTGTTGGTGCAGCCTATCCATGGCAACCTTCCATCATATTAACTCTGTCATAAAATCCACAGTTGAAATGGTACCAAATGCTCCTAGTGTTTGTGGCGTCATTGTTTGCCCTGGGGCCAGACCCCTCTATTCTGGTCCTTGTATGGGAGGCAGGCTTTTTGCATACAGTATTTTATTACCTTCTGAATGCCCCGCACGCAGTCAGTTACTTTGAAGTGCGGTGACTGTTATAATAATCCTTGCATTTGACATGACGTCTTATCACATCTTCGAGACATCTCAAAGCACTTCACAAAATATACTGTTCAGTGAATTGACTGTATATTTTGTGGGTGAAACCTAAATATTTGATGTCGGTAAATACAGCAGGATATCTGTGCCTAACATCACCCCCCTCCATTCACGCAGTGAGATAATTCACAAATTTATCTGTGTTTGGTGAGTTTAGGTATTGATCAGTCACAACACCCAGAGAAACACCAAGCTCTTCTTCAACATTTGTGCATGTCAGGAGGTGAGAGCTGGGTTTAACTGGGTTTGTCCTAAAGTCTGTGACCAAATTAACATTTGTGAGATTCCGTTAGCATCTTAGCAAAATACAAAGGCTGCAACTGATGTTGATTTTCCTTCTTGCTCTGTGCTCTTGTCTCAACTCTCGGGCTAGGGATTGGAGGGCAAGGTGCCCTCACTGGTGATAATCACTGAGAGCCCACTCCCCTTGCAGCCGCGAGCCTCTGGTCTCCGGATGCAGGCTCTCCTGGTCAAGGCGTACACCAGCCTACCCCTGTAGTTGTCTCCAGCCAGGAAATACAGGATGGGGTCAATGCAGCTGTTGGCAGTAGCGAGTGGTCGTGTGATCTTGTAGGTAAAGTTCACAATGTTGAGCGCTCGGCAACCCTTGTCCTGCAAGCGGAAGCTGTAGTACATGGTCCTGGTGATGTGGAAAGGGACAAAGCACACTGCAAAGACCACCAGCACAATGATGATCATCTTGATAGACTTGCGCTTGGTCTCGGAGGTGGGCATGTGGACTTTGCTCAGTTCCCAGGCCATGAAGGTGTAACAGAAGAGGATGACGAGAAAGGGGATGATGAAGAGGAGAGCCATGATGGACGAGCTGTAAGCAACATACTTAGGGAAGAGTTCAGGACGGGTTGTGTCGTGGCACAGAATGTCCTCACCGCGGCGGCTGGTGGTGACAAAGATCAATTTGGGAACAAGGCAGCTGATGACAGCGACCCAGACCAACAGGCAGATGAGCCGAGCGTTTCTGACCTTCAGCCACCGCAGTGAGCGCATGGGATAGCAGATACCGAGGTAGCGATGCACACTGATACACGTCAGGAAGAGGATACTGCAGTACAGGTTGGAGTAGAAGAGGAAGCGGGTAAGCTTGCAAAGCACCACGCCAAATGGCCAGTGATTGCGGTTGGCGTAGTAATAGGTGAGCAGTGGCAAAGACAGCACATACAGCAGGTCAGACATGGCCAGATTAAACATGTAGATAGTCGTGGCATTCCACGGCCGCATCTTACACACAAACATCCACAGAGCCACAGCGTTGAGAACCAGCCCCAACACGAAGAAAGTGCCATAGGACACAGGCAACAAGATGTACTTGAATTCTTCGTTGAAAGTGCAGCTGTAGTTAATAATCCTGAGAACATTGAAATTATCAGGTTCTGTGACCAATGGGGTCAGTCCATAGCTCTCAATCGATGACATTGCTGCAGCCCTTGATCAGGCTCACTCCTATGGAAAAAGGTAAACAGTATGAGGGTGTATGTTAAAGTTAGTGTTAAGGTAAATGTGAGGGTTTGTGTCAGAGACAATGTGTGTGGAGGGGATGGGGGTAGCAGGTGGGGGGGGGGGGGTTGGGGGCATACACTGAAAACACAGCACTGTCCAGATCTTCTTTAATTCCTTTGGTAAGCAGGTGATGTGCGGCTCTAGAGAACAAAGCATTATAAAAGGTTTAACAGAGCAATAATAATTCTATAGATTTCATGGGAATGTTCTGCCATCCTAAGGTAAACAAGGCTACGATGATCCAACTCTTGTCTAAATATTGTCAGGACAAACACCCACACAGGAGTGTATAACAGCTCCTGGGTGCGGCTCCCATTCCCTCCAGGGTGTTGTTATACAGTTAATGCAAAGATCAACATTAAAATCAAACATATTGGCAGACCATTCCTTCAGCCTTAGGCTTGGTGTTTCCTGCTTCAAGTAACTTTCATCCTAATCCCAATTTCTTGATCTTCTCTAATACCTCTCCTCTACATGGGTTTCATACTGTCACTTCCCTACCTCTCTGACTGCTTATTCCCCACTCCACCAACCGCCTTCTCCGCTCGACTGGCTCCAGCCTCTTGCTTGTCCCTCATCCCTTTGGAACTTTTGGTTTACTTCATAATTAGAATTCTAGTACTGTATATTGAAAACAACTCTCCCCAATGCAGTGAGTGGGGGACTGGAAAAGTGAAGTACACACTGTTGCCAATAGTCTGTCTGGGGACTAGTTGTTGAGGCACATGTGGAGGGCAGTTAGTGCTGAAATACATAAACAATTTCTGTTCAGATAATTCCATCTTTTATGGTAATACCTGTCTGTACTTAATGTGTGCTCAGGAGCAGTTGCTACAATAATATAATATCTGCTTTGATATAGTGCTTTTCACGTCTTCTAAACATCTCAAAGCGCTTCACAGAATATACTGTAAAGTGAATTGACTGAATATTTGTGGGCTATGTACATTATATGTAAGTCAGTCTGAGACAGAGGTTGGTGCTCAGAGTGGGAACCAGGGAGCGTGATTCACTCAGCACTTTCGGAATGAGTCCTGCTGTCCAAGTTCCCGCTCAATAGCAGAAGCACATTGAAATAGCTAATCAAACTCAAAGCCATACTTCCTTAATAAGTTTTGTTTCAAGTAACTATTTGTGGTTATAAATCCCACACAGGAAACTCAGCTCACGGACAGCTGGGCACATTAACATGAGCAACATCGGCCTCTGCTCTGGCTCCTGCAGAGCAGCACTATTTAGATTGAATGATTGGAAGCAATTCCAGAGTATTCCAAGGTCTACTGAATAAAGAATGAATTAACCGTCACACTGAAAGTAAACCTCAATGTTTTGTTTGGTCAGCTAGGTGTCTGACCCATGCAGGAGCCCGTGACCGTGCTTAAGAGAATCAAAAGCAGACTGAAACTTCCACATGTGTAAGCCACCTACACATGGGAATTCCCTGTGTCTGGAATGGAATGCGTATTCTCTCCCTGGAGGGAGGCACCCTGCTTACCTAACTCCAGAGAGTGTTCGGTGCAGGTTGGCGAGAACCAAGGCTTCGTGATCCCAGGGTATGAGTTGTGGGGTAATTACTGGAGTTCTTACCAGCTAAAATCACATAACTTGTGGAGTCCTGTAGCTCAGTGGTGAGAGCACTCGCTTTGCAAGCGAGAGACCTGAGTTCAATTCCAGGCAGAGGGCGAAACCTTGGGCAAGTTTCCTTACTCCACACAGAGCCTAATAATAATCCTCCAAAACCCAAAACAATAATAAATTGGTCATTTTCAATCTACGACTGTTTGTGGGACATTGCTGTGCGCAATTGGCTGCCGCGTTCGCCCACAAATATACAGTCAATTCACTTTACAGTGTGTTCTGTGAAGCGCTTTGGGACGTCCTCCCGACGTGAGAAGCGCTATATCAAATGCAAGGATTATTATTATTATTATATTTGTGACTACTCTGCTGTCTGACAAGTTTCCTGCTGCTTGTCCAAGAGTACTACCCCACCTATTCGAGCTTTGGCTTGTGGGGCTATCAGGAGACGAATCGGGAAAAAGTGCCGGTTTGCCCTTCCAAGTGCTGCCGACAACCCAGCTGGCTCATCTGTTGTCAGCAGCACCTTGGAGAATTTCACACCACTGTAGCTCAGAGACCCCGCAGAGGATCGATATGATTCTAACGTTATCATTGGGTTAAGGGTTAGGGTTATGTACCTCCGCACCTCCACCCCACCCGAAATAATACTCGCATAGTCGAAAACACGTGAAAAGCGCTATATCAAATGCAAAGATTATTATTATTATTTGATATAACGCTTTTCACATCTTCTAGACGTCTCAAAGCGCTTCACAGAATAGACTGTAAAATAAATTGACTATATTTGTGGGCGAAATGCGGCAGCCAATTGCGCACAGCAGTGTCCCACAAACAGTCGTGGATTGAAATGACCAATTTATTATAGGTTTTTTTGAGGGATTATTATTAGGCGTGTGGAGTAAGGAAACTTGCCCAAGGTTTCACTCTGCCATCAATTGAACCCAGGTCTCTCGCTTGAAAAGCAAGTGCTCTAACCACTGAGCTACAGGATTCCATAGAAACACACTGGAGGGCAGACACTAGTTGATTATTTGACATATAATTGCCACTATGCCCCAAAACTCTCGAACACTCCCTCAATTCCTCCACCTTGCCCCTCTCTCAAGTCCTGCCTAAAAACTTTCCTCTTTGACCGTGCTTATGGCCACTTCCCCCCTATCCCCGGCTCAGAGTCAGGCGCCATCACAGTTAAGCGCTCTGAGACACTAACCTGCGTGAAGGGCGCTATATAAGTGCAAGTTGTTGTTGTCATATTGAGTCCTCACTAGGTGGATGGCAGGCACCAGGAAGTCTCTATGAGCTTCCTGATCAGCATAAAATGTACAAGAGCATGACCACCATCTTCCTGCCCACAGTTTGGACACCAACATCCCTTCATAGTGAGTGATGGTTCCACCAGTTGATGGTATAAGAGCTTGAGTAGCAGCTGCTCACCTCTTTGCAAACCAATTGTAAATACCAAGCTCTAGTTATCGGTGGGTGTTCACCAATCTGTCAATGTGAGTATTTTAGGCTCATCTGATTATAGGAAGAATAACTACATATTAGTGATGTCTCTTGACCAAGTAATGCCAGGTTTCACACTATCTCAGATTAACCCCATTGTTATTCTCTTCCACTGAAAGGAGAAATCTCCAGCCACAGCCTGAAAATTAAATGGATTGCTGAGCTCCCTTCTCTATTTGTCACTTTGACCCCAATTCTAAGGCTGGATTCACTGCTTTAATCAAGCGCCGCACCTTCCACTAAGTATATGTGATGGATCTTGTGATGCTCCAGTGCTGCCTCTCCCCTCATCCCTCCTCCCCTCGTCCCCTCACACTGCGCTGCCACCCTGGCTGGAAGCTGTCCTATCTCAATCATTCACACCACCTCATCTTTACCTGCCTTCCCACCTCGTTGTGGGAGATTCAGCACAGCGAACGCTGTTCATTGACACACACATCAGCACATTCCCAAACTGCACTCACCGGGTGCTGCTGTTCCCACACAGTGATTTATCCCGAGTCTCCGATCCTCATGTTGTCACAGTTTGTGCACTGAGTGTGTCAGGTGCCTCAGTCCGCTTCTTACTGTTATTAATTCTTGGACCACTGTGAACTCCAAGCCAGTGTGTGCCACGCTGGAGTTTGCCGCAATCTGATTTAACCTCAGTAACAGTAGAGCAAATGCAGTGTGAATCGCTGAATCTTCCCACTTCTCTCCTCTCCTATGACAAAGTTTCACAATTGCGGAAGTTTCAGTTTGAGTCACACATCAGTCACTAAAGCAGTCCAGAGTCTAATTCATGGATTGAGTGACCAATTTACTTTTGAAGGTAAACAGGCGTGTGGAGTAAGAAAACTTAATTGTAAGTGTGAATGCAAAGTGCAAGGTGTGAATGCCATATACAGGCAATTAGTTGGAGAGAATTAGTTCTAAATGAGAGATTCTGTCTCATTTGCGGCATTTACAGACACTTCAGAAAAAGCAATCTGTGATTTCAGACACTGAATCCTCCATGAAGAGTCTCAGATCTTTACCTCCTTCTCCATTAGGATGGGTAATGGAGACAGAAGTCCTGTTAGTTACTGTGGAGTCCTCTATCTTAGTGGTTGGAGCACTTACCTCGCAAGCGAGAGGACCTGAGTTCAATTCCCGGCAGGGCGAAACGTTCGTCCAGTTTCCTTGAGAGAGAGTGTAGCTGCTACTGCCCTGTCACAGATGCACTCCCACTCCCAAGCCAGGCTTCTCGCACCCTCTCCCTGCAGTGAGATAGATTAGTGACTGTGCTACAGTGTGGATAACGAAGTCTCCAAAGCCTCATTTATAGAAGGGGCTCCTGGCCAGCAGAGCAGCACCAATGTATTGGATAGTGTTACTAGCACGGGAGGTGAGGGAGGGGCACGGGAGGGGGGGGGGGCACGGGTGGAGAGGGGGGGCACGGGTGGAGAGGGGGGGCACGGGAGAAGGGCGGGGCATGGGAGGGGGTGCACGGGAGGTGCTTCTGTTTAACAACCTAGCAGCAAGTAGGAACTTGGTTGTTAGTCGATTGGCAGATCGCTTTTCCAGGGATAATAATCCCTCCAAAATAAATGAATAAATAATAATTTGGTCTGTTGATCCACGACTGTTTGTGGGACGCTGCTGTGCACAATTGGCTGCCGCATTTAACACTGTAGTCAATTCACTTTACAGTATATTCTGTGAAGCGCTTTGAGGCATCTGGAAGACGTGATCAAATGCGGTGTCAAATGCCGGGTTATTATTAATGGTAGTCCTGG